GCCCAAAAATTCTTTGGCAACTCCTTGTCATGAAGCATACATCTGGTCATCTCCATTATGTATATGTTTCTCCTTTCACTAACTCCATTTTGTTGTGGCGTGTAGGGGGCAGTGAGTTGGTGTTCTATGCCCGCTTCCTCGCAAAACAAGTTAAATTCTTCTGAGGTGTATTCTTTTCCATTATCTGACCTTAGAGCTTGAATTTTGCAGCCACTTTGGTTTTCCACCATTTTCTTGAACTTCCAAAACACTCCAGCCACTTCTGACTTGAATTTTAAGAAAAAAATCCAACAAAATCTTGTAAAATCATCAATAAAAGCAATGTAATACCGACTACCTGCTAATGATAGGGTTCTTTGAGGACCGGATACATCTGTGTGGACTAGCTGCAACTTGTGAGTGGCTCTCCAAGTTGACTTTGGGAATGCTCTCCGTTTTTGTTTACCGTATTGACAAGCATGACAATTCGGTAAGTGATCTCCAAAGGTTGGTAAGCCAACTGTGAGCTCCTTTTTCTTCATGAGCTGCATCCTTTGCAAGTGACAATGACCAAGTCTCTTGTGCCATATCTCGGTGTTGATGGCTTCGGTGGAAAATACAGCAAGTTCTTCTTTGATGGGATCAAAAGAAAAACTTTTGCCCTTCATTCTCACTTTGAGAATTTCCTGACCCATGACATCAAGAATGTGACAGAAACTATCTTCAAAGATCACTTTAAAGCCTTTTTCAATCAATTGACCTACACTCAACAAATTTTGGTCAATTTCTGGTACGTAGAGAACATCAGAAATTCTCTTTGTGCCTGCAGTGCTGGTTATGGCGATTGTCCCTTTCCCTTTGACAGAGATGTAATCACCATTGCCGATTCTGACTTTAGTAATGTCAGTTGGCTTCAAATCTCTGAAGAGTTCCTTGTCATTGGTCATGTGGTTGGTACAGCCGCTGTCAATTAACCAACTTTCAGTCGAACTATTACTTGCAATGCAAGATGCCGCAAAAAGTTGATCTTCATCCTCTTGGTCTGCAACTTGAGCATCAGCTTCCTGAACCTGGTTTTTATTCTTGCATATCACTGCCTCATGTCCGATCTGATTGCATTTGGAACATTTAGCGTCAGGCCTCCTCCAACATTTGAATGGAGGGTGACCTTTCTTCCCACAGTGATGGCAAGGAGGGTATTTACCTTTGAAACTTCCACTTTTGCTTTTGTTGCTACTCGAAGCAGGAGAAACCCAATTTCCCTCTTGGCCTTTCTTCTTTTTCTTCTTGTTTTTATCAGCTCCATGATGTTTTGCAGGTAAGGCTCCTTCAGTGTTGACATCTTGCCTCATAAGCCTCCTCTGCTCTTGTGCCTGCAGGGAATTAAGTAATTCCGCTAAGGGAATCTTTGACATATCCTTGGTATTTTCCAAGGTTGTAACTGTCGCTTCATACCTCTCAGGCACTGTGACAAGCATCTTCTCTACAATCCTTGAATCACTTAATTCAGACCCGAGCAGCCTCACTTTGTTTGCAATTCTGAGAAGTCTATCTGAATACTCATTAATTGTTTCAGATTCCTTCATCTTTTGCAACTTGAATTCCCTTATCAAATTCAAGACCTGCATTCCTCTGATCCTTTCGTCACCTGCATATTCTTCCTTGAGATAATCCCATATAGACTTAGCTGTCTTAAGGGACATTATTCTCATGAAGATTGTTGATGACACCGCAGCAAACAAGCATGCTTTGGCCTTTGACTTCTTTGTCTTCTTCTCCTTCTGCGCTTTAATCTGTGCCATGGTGGGATTGTTTGGAAGTGCAGGGATCTCATAGTCTTCTTCCATTGCTTTCCAAAGATCCAAAGCATCCAAGTATGTCTCCATGCGTACTGCCCAAATCTGGTAGTTGTCTCCATCAAACACCGGTGGAGCAATGGATGAGAAACTAGCTTCGGCTTCCATGACTTGTCAAACTCACACAGATCCCTTAAGAAGAGAGCTCTGATACCAATTGTTAGTTTTAAAGATGAAAAACAAGAGGAAGATATACGGGAATGCAAACTGGGAATTCTTTTTAATTGATAATGCATCAAGCTTACATTATATAAAAAACAAAAACTGAACAACTAACATAGTGGCCGAGAATCAAGCCATAAACTGCAACACGTCTAGAACAAACTAACTACTTCCTAAAGACTAGGACCAACTCAAAACAAATAAATTGGAAGCATACATGACACGTGGACAAATTGAAGGAAACATAAAGAACATGTGGACACATTTAAGGAAGCATAAAACAATTATCTAACACGTGGACAAGTTGCAGTCCTAAAAGCAGCTAACTAACAAGGGCCGAAGGGAAAATATGCAGGAACCGGGGAAGTGGAAATATGGGAAAGGGGTGCTGAGGTGTCTGTTGATTGGAAAATTTCTGGAGCAGACCGTGGGAGAAAGGAGAATTTCCATTGTTTCTTTTCTTGTGAGTGTTTTTGTATGGAATTCCTCTCCTGTGAGAGTTGAATGTGAGATAAAAAAAAAAAAAAAAAAAAGAGCTTGCCCCATTTTTAAGTAATTTTTTCTGAGTTGATGTTAA